CTTAAGAGCATTTAAGGGTGGGGATTTTAGAGGAGGTCTCTGGGGAGAATCTCAATAGAGTATTCATCAGCTTTCTAGGTATGTCCTTTCAGGGGGTGTTGTCCACTGATTATTCGGTGTCAGGGCAGCGGGTCATTAGTCACTGCGGATGATCCTGATGTCAGCCATGGGATCGTCTCAGCTGGCCTTGATGCTATCCTTTGCCAGGACCTGAAAGACAACTGAGGCCTAAATGTTCTCTTCGAGGAGTTAATGCTTAATGGGGTGGTTATGCAAGTGTTTGTATGGAGGTCATATGAGGTTATTTTCCAGTCCAATGTCTGGTGACATAACAGGGAAGGAAAGGCCTAATCTTATGACCATCAATATGAAAGGTGAGGGGGTGTAAGCCACATGACCAGGGATACGCTAGGTTAGGGTAAGAAAGGGTGTCCCGGCCCATTTTACCCTTTGCTAGCTACGCAGGGCTTTCTGCTCTTGTGACCTTCAGTCCCTAGCATATCTTTTCCATTCTGCTCATGTTTGTCTGTCTACTAACTTGGAGTGAGTTAACTGTTTCCCATCCTCTCTTCCTTTCTTGTATTTGTAAATGAAGATTGCAACTATGTTGCAACTTATTTTAAGCAGTTTTGAATGAAAGTGATACAATGATTTCCTTAACTCTAATATGAACGTTTATAATTACACTATTATCTACATCAGTTCTTGCAAATGGCAGGCCACTTTACTTTTAGTTTATTTGGGTAACAGTTTCTAAGTACATTTTATTACCCCAGGCTAGTGGCCTGACAAAATGAAGAAGCAGTTTCTGTGTGTGATATTTTAAAGGGGCAGAGATGCCAAAAGCATTGCAGGAAGAAACATATTCTTAAAGATTATTACCACTACCACAGTGTCTACCAGGGTGAGAAGTAGGTGGCATAATATTCTGAGATATAAATTCTCTGAGACAGAACATAGAATTTTACTACTGAAATGTAATAAGATGTATTGTGCTCTCAGGGAAGGCCATGGAGCTCTGTGTGATTAAAATAAAAAAGGATACAAGTATCTGCCTTTAATTACCATTTAATGATGATGATTTTTGTGTTTAGCATTTATATTTGAAGTCAAGAACAAGCCAAGCTGCAGGCTATCTAATAAGACTATGAATAATAATAACAACTGCCTTTCTCTTCCTCCTTAGATCTTACAGTTTATGTTTATTCTCAGAGACAGTCCCCTTCCTTGATCTCAGTTTATATGGTAATTGAAATATTAGTTTTAAAATTGTGTTGTACACCACATGCCCATGAAAGGAATTTTAACATTAGATTTATGTTAGTAAGGAAGACTCAGAAAAGGCCTACTATATATCAGTCTTTTTTTTTTTTTACATGTTATTTTATTTATTTTTCATGGCAACCCTTTAAACTACATATTGTCACCTATCTACTTTTACAGAAGTGGAAAATTAGGTCTGATAAGCTTCTAATAAAGATAGTCTCATACCCAGCAGTGACACAGAACTGGCTCAGACTAGGTGATGAAAAGCAACAAATATTCAGGATTTCTGTTGTTACCCTGAAGTCAGCCACAGTGGGGGAAACTCACACCATGAAAATCAGCAAAGGTTAAAAAAGAGGGTCCCTCTTCTTCATTTTTTTCTTTAGGGAAGCAGTTCTCTAGGGAAGGAGAAAAATCCCCACCAGTTTGAGTTGTTATCTGAGACCCCTGTAATAAAAGACAGAGGAACAAGAGAAAAAACAAACAAGTTTATTAACATGTATCCCTCTTGTATACATAGCAGATACCCAAGGGAAAATGAATAACTCCCCAAGGTGGCTTAGAATTCAGGCTTAAATCCCACCTTAATATGGAGAGGAAAGAGTGAGAGTTGGTGAATTTTAGGAAAGATGAATGGACCCATGAATCATAGATGGGAAATAAGTTGGGACAAAGTTTATCTGGGTGTGGTTTTGACTTCTAATCTCTTCTGTGATGAGTCAATCTTCCCTGGTTGATGAAGAATTTATGGAGGGTATTTATAAAAGTGTAGTTTATTTTGTAGGATCTGTCTTTAGGCAGATAGTTTAGAGAGAGCCTCCCCTACAATTGATGTTTTTCCATGTCTACAACTCAGGATAATATACCACAGAGAATTTAAGGGTAGCATATTCTGCTATCCTTCAACTCTGAGAACAGGTTTACCAGCTCGCTACTCCCAGTTTACTGAATTTCATTCACAGTCTGCAATATGCAAAACAACAACAACAAAAACACAAGCTTATTCTTTCTTCCAAGTTTACATAGGTTTTGAATTCCTAAAAATCAAGAAAACTGTAATTAGGAGCTACCTAAGATAGAAGTTTGTAACAAACCCACCCTCCCACCCCACCCCTACCACCTGGCTTGACACTTTGTTTTAAATCCTTTATATTTTCAAATGATTTATTTGCCGTCCTCACTTAATGAAAAACTTGTTGAGAGTTGAAGTTCTCTTATGTATTTTTTTTTTCATTATGCATACTGGGAGATTTACTAGAATAATGAAATTAATCTGAAATATGATAGATGAAATTGCTAAAAATATGTCAAGATGTAGTACTGGTTTTATTGCCAAGTTTCTTTGTATAACTAAAATGCCATCAGAAGTATAATTATATTTTATACACTTTTTAGAGATTGTAATCATATTTTAAAATTGAATTTATAATCACTGTAATTTTTAGCCTCAAAAAAAGATATGTTTTAGTATAGATACTACATAAGCTATAGGTATACAAGTAGAATATCCAAATAGTGTTAAAATTCTTAAAATAATAAAAAAAAATCTTAGATTCTAAGAAAAGTAATGAAATAGTACATGGGCAATTTCCCCTACACCCTTAGAGAAAGCAAATCAAAGACATTTTTTAAAGTATATTTTACTGATTATGCTATTAGAGTTGTCCCATTTTTTTCTCCCTTTTATCCCCCTCTGCTCTGGACACCACGTCCACCAGCACCTCCCCCCCCCGCCCCCCCACCCTTAGCTTATGTCCATGGGTTGTGCATATAAGTTATTTGGCTTCTCTATTTCATATACTATTCTTAACTCTCCCTCTCTATTTTGTGCCTACCAATTATGATTCTAATACTTGTACCTTTTCCCTCCATTCTCCCCCTCCCCACTGATAACCCTCCATGTGATCTCCATTTCTGTGATTCTGTTCCTGTTCTAGCTGTTTGCTCAGTTTGTTTTTGTTTTTGTATTTGTTTTAGGTTCAGTTGTTCATAGTTGCAAGTTTGCTGTCATTTTACTGTTCATAGCTTTGATCTTTTTCTTAGATAAATCCCTTTAACATTTCATATAATAAGGGTTTGGTGATGATGAACTCCTTTAACTTTACCTTACCTGGGAAGCACTTTATCTGCCCCTCCATTCTAAATGACAGCTTTGCAGGACAGAGTAATCTTAGATGTAGGTCCTTGCTTTTCATGGCTTTGAATACTTCTTTCCAGCCCCTTCTTGCCTATAGAGTTTCTTTTGAGAAATTAGCTGATAGTCTTATGGGAACTCCTTTGTAGGTAATTGTCTCCTTTCCTCTTGTTGCTTTTAAGATTCTCTCCTTATCTTTAATCTTGGGTAATTTAATTACAGTGTGTCTTCATGTGTTTCTCCTTGAATCCAACTTCTTTGGGACTCTCTGAGCTTTCTGGACTTGTATATCTAATTTCTTTGCTAGATTAGGAAAGTTTTCCTTCATTATTTTTTCAAATAAGTTTTCAATTTCTTGCTCTTCCTCTTCTCCTTTTAGCAGCCCTATGGTTCAGATGTTGGAATGTTTAAAGTTGTCCAAGAGTTTCCTAAACCTTTCCTCATTTTTTTTGAATTCTTGTTTCTTCATTCTGATCCATTTGGATGTTTATTTCTTCCTTTTGTTCCAAATCATTGATTTAAGTCCTGGTTTCCTTCCCTTCACTGTTGGTTCCCTGTATATTTTTCTTTATTTCACTTTGCATAGCCTTCATTTCTTCCTTTAGTTTACCACTAAACTCAATCAATTCTGTGAGCATCCTGTTTACCAGTGTTTTGAACTCTGCATCTGATAGGTTGGCTATATCCATTTTGGTTAGTTCTTTTTCTGGAGTTTTGTTCTGTTCTTTCATTTGGACAATATTTCTTTGTCTCAGCCAACCAGTTATGTTGTAAGGGGTGTAACCTTAGGTATTCGCCAGGGTCTGGGGACCCACTTTGATGCGCTGTGGTGCTGTCTGTGGTGGAGAGGTCAGAGAGGGAATTATGCTGCTTGCTCAGCTCTCGCCCCACTTTCAGTCACTTCCATCACTTCCTGCAAGTGGATTGTACCCTTTCGGGTGCTGATTCCTGGGTGGGTGGGTTTGTGTGCATTTTAGAACCCTGTGAGCCCCTCCAACAGACTCTCCTGTGAGACTTGGAGTTTCTCTCACTGCTCCAATTGCCACAGGTTTTTACAGCCAGAGGTTTTGAGGCTTTATTTCCCAGCTCTGGAACCCTGGATTGCGCAGTCTGTCTGGCCCCTGAGTTGTTCCTCCTGGTGCATCCGCACATGAATGTGGTACTCCCCGTTCTGCCAGTTGCTACCTTGTCACAGGACCTCACCACCCTGGCTTCCCATCTTCACCCCTCCTTCCAGTCTGAATGAATGTTCCTTTAACTCCTTTGTTGTAAGACTCTCATACAGTTTGGTTTTCTGGCAGTTCTGGTTGTATTTTGTTTTTAAATTGGTTGTTATCCTTCTTTTGGTTGTGCGAGGAAGCAAAGTGTATCTACCTACGCCTCCATCTTTACCAGAAGCCCTCAAAGAAATGTTTAAATGACAAGTTAAAAAACAGAGTTCTCAAATGTTATTTTTGGTCTTAGAAAGCATGCTTTCATGTAATTATTAAAACATTACAAAACTCAATTTAGAATGGTCCAGTTGCTAATGATGTTTGAAAAATCAAACACGCACACATACATACAAGCTAAGAAAGTTTATGTCTCTTTTCAATTTCAGGGGATCCTACGGTCATGAGACAGGGAAACGTTCTTGGATTACAGGAGATGAGACTATTGTAAGCCTTATGACTGACATTGTTGGTAAGTACAAAATAGTTTTATTCCAAACTAATTGTGAATACCTTATTATTTAGTTACAGACATAGATTATGAAGTCAAAATCTTATTGAAAAACATCCTGATTTTCCATTTCAATCCATAACAGAAAAGAGCAAGCATACTTTAAATTAAGACTTGATTGTTATAGACTAGAGAACATAACTAGGTTATTTGGTACAAAAATAAAATAGGTTATTATTTTTCTTGTATATTTTAAAACTAATATTTACTCCCCAATTTAAAACACATGCATTGCATTAATTTATACTTAGAAAAAATCAACTTTAGTGAAATTTCTAAGATTTCATTATATGGTAAAATAAACACTAACCTTTACATGCTAAAGGATTAAATCACCAAACCTTTTTTATTTTATTTTATTATTATTATTATTTTTTTGGCTCATTACAATTTAATCCATGGAAAGCTATTTAAGATTAAATGAACATTATTTAAAATAATAGTGTATGCTATTGTTGGTTTATAATGTGTTTCCTAAAGTGAGCTATACGTACTCTTAGTGGTACTCAAGATAGTTTTAGATGGTAAGTGTATTAACATTTTGAAAAATATTTATTTAATTGGGTTGAATATTCAGTATTGCCTGAAATCTTATATGAAATTTAGGGTATTAAACAAACAAAAAAAATCATAATTAAGCAATTTGAGTAGTATTATATGGAAATATATGAAAGATTTAGGAAAACCTCAACTTTTAAAAGGCTTTTTCATAACTCTTTCCCGTATAGAAAATTATAAAACTATCTTTGTTTTACCTGACTTATATCTTGGCTAGTAATCAGAAGACAAAATCAACTTGAGCTGGTGAGAAAATGGAATTAGAGTGGGGAAGCCTGGGTGGTTTAAACAACAAAAATTTATCTTTTCACAGCCCTGGATGGAGGCCAGAAGTCCAAGAACAAAGTTTGGTTTCTGGTTTGGCCTTCTTCCTGGCTTGTAGATGCTGCTTTCTATGATCTCACTTGGCTGGAGATCGCTGATATCTCTTCCTCTTTTATGAGGAAAAACAGTCCTATCAGATTAAGGCCTTACCCTAATGATTTTATTTAACATTTATTACCTAAATATAGGCCATATTTCCAAATCCTGTCACACTGGGAGTTAGGATTTTAACATAAGAATTTGGGGAGGACACAGGTCAGTCCATAATATATTCCATGGTGAAAACCAAAGAATTAACTGTTTATCTACTTCTATCCTAATTTAAGCCCTAGTAACTATGCAGGAGACTGGAAAAGTCTTCTCTGTGATATTTAGACAACCTAAGATTTTTAACATTTTTTCCCAGTATGATGGCCCAATAGAATCACCTTATATCAGATTCTATTTCATGCACAAAGAAGAATATGCTCATGTTTAAAACAGCCTCAATTACCAGACTTTTAAGGAAAATCTGTCCTTAGTTTATAAAACATATTAATATGTTATCCATTCAAAATGTTTTTAAAAATTTAAAAACTCCATAGAAGGCTTGCAAGCAAAAGCAAGCTCTATTTCCATCTAGTTATTATTAAATAATCTTTCCACCCTACACATTTGTTTTATATTATAGGGTCAGAATATTGACTTCTACTTTAAGGTAATCAGTTAAATACAAACTGAAAATTCTTCCTTCTATTCCAAACACAGAGAAGTGATAGAAAAATTAAGTTAACAAACATATAGTCACATTAAAGAAATTAAATTGAAATCATTACAAACCAGAAATAATGCCATTGCTGAAGAAAGGAGCAGTAGAAAGGCTAGAAGGGCAGAACTAGGGGCTGTGCATGGAGTCAGGCAGAGTGTGTAGGCCTGAGTCCAGGACGGTCCCATGAAGCCTCAGGGCATTTTAGCACATCCTTTCATGCCTGGGCTATTTTGGGAATGAAAGCCAAAACTTTTGTCAGCCAGGTCAAGTAAAGGCAAAAACCAAGCATTTTCTGCCAGACCCCCCCCCCCCCAGTTCTTAGGAACACGGCACTTGATTGATTAGGCTGTCCGCATTGCTAATAGGAGTACATATTCTAATGGAGGAGATTACCACCTGAGCAACCCTGGATTGTGTTTAAAGACGTGTTAAATATTTGTTTAATAAAGCCTTCATTTGTGTTCATTTTCTAGAAGCCACTTATATTCATTCAAATGTCTAACATGTAAATAAAGAAACCTAAAATAGCTCCTAGAGTACCTGAGAATATATGTTTTCCTTAGCTGCAGAACTTTCGTCTCTCCCCCCAGGTTTGCTTTCAGAATATAAATTCTATTCTAATCCTGTTACTTTGTGCTCAATATTTATCATTCTCTAAAGAGGAGTTAAGATGTTTATATCCAGCCCAAGGAAGTGGTAAGATGATATCATTTAGTGAGATTTATTTATAAAGCCAATAAACCCTGCAAAAAGATCTCCTTTGACCACTTAAAAGTGTGTTGTAGCTCTTTTGCTGCTTAGTAAACATGCACGTGTTTTGTTGCCTAGTAAATAAAAATACGTCACAACAATCCCGAACACTTCAAACCAGGCACCTCTCATTATCATTTCTAAGGAAAAAGAAAATTCAGATTTGTTTAGAAGGGTAAAGAGACTGAATTTATTTAATTTTTTTACAGACTATTTATTAACTCTAGCTTTAGGATGTTCTGTTAGTCTTTGAAATACCATACAAAGTTATAACACGTATGGAACAAATTTCTCTTAATTTTCTGTGTTTTTGTCATATTTCCTTTGAAATATTATCAGTGGCTGAAAGTAATCTGTATTTTCAGTTTATTTTATTGTTTTTTTTTTTTGTTGTTGTTGTTGATCAGAGAGATACAAATTGACAGTGTCTACAAAAGTGTATTTTAAAATCTTGGTATTTTCTTTTAATTTTAGTAACTATTAGGCCCAAATTTCTTTATTTTTAACATGATATATATTAATCAGAGAAATGGTTCTTAAGTCAAGTTGAAAAATGAATGATTTCACTGTTTGCTTTAGTAGAAACACATCCTTTAGAAGGTGTTGATATGTGTTTATCTTGTTTGTTGCTAATCCAATGCAAGTTCCTTTTCTGCCTCATTACTAGAAAGTCCTGAAAAAAATTGGTCAAGTTTAAAGTAGCAAAAACCTTTAATAGCTCCTAATTTGTTTTTATTTTCATATATTGTACTCTATATCTATTTTTTATCTTTTATTTCACATAGTAGTGCTAGAACCCTGGAATTCTCCTTGAAAATAGAGTTGGTAAAATAACAAAACATTTAAGATAACTGTGTGGTAATTACAGTAAAGAGCAGCAGAAGTCAAATTTACTTTTGCTACTTGCTAGACAAATAGACAAGTTGTATATTTTGGTTTATGATTGACTCTTCCAGGTTCTTAAAACCATAGCCTTTATTTCATCATAAAATATCTCAAAAAGAAGTAATGGGAGGATAATAAAAATTATTATGCTGTACAAATTGATAGAGTAGATAGGAGGAAGAGACAATGAACAAACAGTATGTATTCATAGACGTAGAAAAGAATATCAATTTCAGATGGGAAGAATATCTATCAAGTAAACACTTTATATAGAGCCAATGATTCTTTAAAATGTAATAACATTCTCTTATAATTAATATATTATTAAGATGCTAGAAATAGAATTGCTAAAGAATATTAGTATTATTATTAAGCCTACTTTTCCCTGGGTACATAAAAATCACAAAGATCTAGATACATGCATCTCAGCTTATAATATTGTTGTAATGTGAACATAAATTTGCTTTATGAAACTTGGAATTGACCCTCAGAGAAGCAATAATCTCGGGAAGCTCTCTGCAAAGAGGGTGAATTCTCAGCCATGCACTGGCCACTTCTAGAGGCCAAAGGAATTTGCTGCTTGAAGAACAGTGTGGAAAGTTCTCAAACGTCTCCCAACCACAAACCTTACAACCAGGTCCACAATAATATTCACATCTGCTTAATAAAATATGCAGAAAAGGATATGGAAGTTCCAAGACTCATCATGAACCACGTTATCAAATGTTAAGCAACTGGGCACCCTGTCACCTTCACTTTCCAAAATATTTGACATTAAATTACAATTAGAGAGATGCAGGAGAAAGTTCGTGACTAACATGGGCCTCCTGTATTTGATTTACAGGGAATAGATAATGTAGAAAATTTTTGTGTAATTGTGAACAAAGATTTTAATTATATATTTTTTTAATATGAGAGTGTACATATTTGTCTTCTACTTCCTGTCTGTGAGACTTTGGGCAAGTTAGTTCATCTCTTTGGATATCCATTTGCTCATTGATAAAATATGGAAAATCTAAGTAGATAACCTCATCAAAATTGTGTGAAGACTATGTGAGATAATACATGTCACATATATAAAAGTGTTGGCACATAGTAAGGGCTCAATAAACTTTAGCTTTCCAGGCATAGAGATAAGAAGTCAGTGCTTGCATTTAACTAGGTTTCACCTCTGGGTAAAGCAAAAAATACCTATATATGTTCATTAAATGAACAAGCAGGAATTCACTTTTCAAATGAGAGCCATGTCTCACACCCATCTCAAAAGAAGTGATTCAAATCTTAACATTTACTGTAGTGAGTTATAGGATAATCTTCAAAGTGAAGACTCTCAAAGCCTGATAAGTTTTGGGGAAGATTTTTAAAAGAATTTTCTTCCATATTTGTTGATGATGTGACATTAATTTCTTAAAAGCTCTTTTTTAAAAAAAGAATAGAAACAAAAAATATAATAAGTTTTTTTAAGTTTATTTTCTTAAGGAATGCTGACGATATTTAAATATGTTAGAAAAAATAGTGGTTTCAAAAATATAATTTGAACTAAAAAAGATATGTCAATTAGGTCACTTCTTTTTTTAAAATACAATAAAAATCATTTTTGGCCATTTGATGTTAAGAACATTTTATTCTTCCATGCCTTCAGGTTATATTTGGAATGAACATTTCTGTTAGTGTTCTGAAACTGTAATCTTAATAC